GTGAATTCGATTCTGACTCATAGTGACCCTGTTTAGGGTTTCCAAGGAGTGGCTGGTGAGTTCAAACCAACTTTGCCTTTCAAACTGACCTTATTGTCAAGTGCTTATCCTACAGTGCCACACCAGGACTCTGGTAGCATAGTGGATTACGAGCTGAGCTGCTAAGCATGAGGTCAACAGTTTGAATCTACCAGTGGTTCATGGGAGAAAGATGAGGCTTTCTGCTCATGTAAAGATTTACAGTCTCGGAAACCCTGTACAAGCTTGCTATGAGTCGGAACCGACTCCACGGCATACCACCACCACAACATCTATGTATGTATGTTGTTGTTGTTAAGTACCATGAAGTCAGTTCCGACTCATAGTGACCCTGCATAGGGTTTCCAAGGCTGTAAATCTTTACAGGAGCAGAAAGCCTTATCTTTCTCCCGTGAAATGACTGGTAGTTTTGAACTGCCAACCTTGAGGTTAGCAGCCCAATTCGTAACCACTACACTACCAGAGCTCCTTTATGTATGTGTATATGTATATGCATATATATGAAGGAGCCGTGGTAGTGCAGTGGATTACAAGCTGGGCTGCTAGCTGAAAGCCCAGAAATTCAAATCTACCAGTTGCTCCACAGAAAAAAGATGAGGCTTTCTGCTCCCGTAAAGATTTATGGCTTCAGAAGCCCTATACAGCAGGGTTGCAATTAGTCGGAACCAACTTGATGACACTTAACGACAAACTTATATATGTGGTGGTATGGAGTCAATTCTGACTCATAGCAACCCTGTAGAGGGTTTCCAAGGCTGTAAATATATGTATATGTATAATATATGTATCTACATATAATATATAGCAGTCCTGGTATGGTGCTGTGGGTAAATGTGCTAGATTGCAAAGTCAGTTTGAACTGCAAGGTTGGTGGTTCAAGCTCACCAGTTGCTCCTTGGAAACCCTCTACAGGGTCACTATGGGTTGGAACTGACTCAATGGCACTTAACACATATAATATAAGGACCTCTGGTAGCATAGTGGTTACGAGTTGGGCTACTAACATCAAGGTCAGCAGTTCGAAACTACCGTCTGTTCCATGGGAGAAAAGACGAGGCTTTCTGCTCCTGTAAAGATTTCCCACCTGGAAATCCTACACAGGGTTGCTATGACTCAGAACCGACTCCACAACACAGTACCACTACCACCACCACATATATGTATCTACATATATAATACACACCTACATATACGATATGTTGTTGTTAAGTGTCATCAAGTTGGTTCTGACTCATAGCAACCCTTCATAGGATTTCCAAGAACCTTGTGGTTCTTCGTTCAGTGCTGATCCTGATCCTACAGCATCACACCAGGAGTCATATATATATATATATATATATGGAGTCCTGGTGTAGCGCTGTGGGTTAATGCATCAGACGGCAAAGTCATTTGAACTGCAAGGTCAGTGGTTCAAGCTCACCAGCTGCTCCTTGGAAACCCTATACAGGGTCGCAATCGACTCGACGGCACTTAACAACAACAACAACAATATATATATATATTACATAACAACAACACTATATCTATGTCACACACACCTAGAGAGACAGAAAAGTTAATGTCGAGGAAATGTCGGACACAGTTGTATGTGATGGTGGTGGTAGTGGTGGTGGTGAGCTGTTGCATCAGTTTTGACTCATAGCTACACTGTATAGGGTTTCCAAGGCTGTAAGTCTTTATGGGAGCAGAAGGCCTCCTCTTTATCCCTCTACACAGTTGCAGAAGATGGCAAATTCCAAGTTCATGAGTCAGATATCAACCTGAAGGCGTCTCCTCATTTATATGGCTGCAGGAGTTGATGAAGTCAAGTTCAACAGGTCAGACAGCAGGCTGCTGGCTGCAGATGCAAATGAATCCAGAGTGGGCAGGTAAGATAGCCAGCTGCTGACACCTCCCAGGATTGGCAGGCCATACGGCCGGCTGCTGACTCAAGTCCAAAGAACCAGAGGTCAGATGAGGAGTTAGATGCAGGATGCAGACCCAGCAAAAAGCAAACAAGCTTTGTCCAAGAGTCCATCCAATATATTGGAAGTAGGCCATACCCCCAAAGAAACTTCCTTTCAATTGATTGGCTGCTCAGTTGACAGGAGATCCCATCGCGGAAGTGATTACATTTTATTATGTCTCATCATGGGAGATTCTTAACAGCCAAATCACTGAGAATCCTGAGCCAGTCAAGTTGACACAAAACCTTTAACTATCACACTCCCTACCTGCTTTCCACCTACCCTTGTCATTGTTGTTAGGTGCCATCGAGTTGGCATAGCGATCTTATGCACAGCAGAATGAAACACTGTCCAATCCTGGGCCAACCTCACTATCGCTGCCACGCTTGAACCCATTGATGCTACCACTTGGCCAATCCATCTCATTGGGAGTCTTCCTCTTTTTCTCTGACCCTCCACCCTACCAAACACGATATCCTTCTCCAGTGACTGCTCCCTCCTGACAATATGTCCAAAGTATGAGAGACGAAGTTTGGCCATCCTGGCCTCCAAGGAGCACTCTGGATGCACTTCTTCCAACACAGATCTGTTTGTTCTTTTGGCACTTTCAATATTCTCCTCTGTCAGTTTGTCGTACTGTGGTGACTTGTGAGTTGCTGTAATTCTGGAAGCTATGCCACAAGTATTTTAAATACCAGCAGGGTCATCCCTAGTGGACAGGTTTCAGATGAGCTTCCAGATGAAGGAAGAAGGAGTGACGAACTGCTTCCGAATATGTAGTCATAGAAACCTTATGAATAGCAGAGAAACCTACCCTTAGTAACCACTAATAAACTTTAGTCTCTCTACATTTGCATTTTCTTGTCTTATTATGTAAGTTGTTGTTGTTGTTGTATTATGTAAGTAAGGTCATACAATATTTTTGTCCTTTTGTGATTGACTTATTTCACTCAGCATCATGCCCTCAAGTTCCATCCATACTGAGCATGTATCAAGACTTCATTTCTCCTACTGAGCAGTATTCCATTGTGTTTATGTACCACATTTTGTTTAATTATTCATCTGGCAATAGGCAATTAAGCTGTTTCCACTTTTTGGCAATTGTGAATAGTACTGCAACGAATACTTGTGCTGTACTCTTTTTTTTTTTTTGAGTCTCTGCTTTCCAATCTTTTGAGTATACATCTAGGAGTGGAATTACTGCACTGTGGCATAGTGCACTGGAGCGCAAGGTTGATTTGAACTACAAGGTTGGTGGTTCAAATTCACCAGCCACTCCTTGGAAACCCTATACAGAGCTGCTCGAAGGCACTTAGCAACAACATGGTAATTTAGGGAGTGTGGTGGTTCCATGCAGTAAGCACTGGCCTGTGAACCAGAAGGTCCACAATTCCAGCCTGCCAGCCTCTCTTTAGAAGAGAGATGAGGCTCTCTGCTCCTGCAAAGATTTTTTTGAAGTCTCAGAAACCCCATACAGAACCAACTTGAAGACACTTATCAACAACAGCAGCATGGTAGTTTTAGGTGTTCTGGTGTGGCGCTGTAGCTAAGCACTGGGCAAACCCATCAGCTGCTTCTTGGAAACCCCATACAGGGACGCTATGAGTAGGAATCTACTCAACGGCCTGTAACAATCACAACACGGTATTTTTATTTTCTAGTTTTTTGAGGAACCACCACACTGCTTTCCACAAGGTTGAACCATTTGCATTTCCAACATGGGTTCCAAATTCCCCACATCCATGCTACTAGGAGTGTAATGTTAGCTCATTGTAGTTTTAATCTGCGTATTTCTGATGACAAATGACAACTGAACATATTTTTCACATTATCTGGTGGTCATTGCAATGTCCTGTTTGGTAAAATATCTATTCATGTTCTTTGCCCGTTTTGCCCATTTTATCATTGGATTGGTCTGTGGTTCAAAGTCTCCAGCCATTCTTGGAAACTGACTCGATGGTATTTAACGACAACAACAAATGATTGGGTTACTTGTCTTTTTGATGTTGTATTGCCGAAGTTTTGTATATATTTTGGTCATTAGATTTTTATGGGTATATGGTTTCCGAAGATAGTGAAATAAGCATTTAAAATATTTAACTACTAACCAGGATTTCATTTGGAGTCCTGGTGTGGTGCCTGCCATAGGATAAGCTCTCGACCACAACGCCTGTTTGAACTACGAGGTCGATGGTTCAAATTCACCAGTCGCCCCTCGGCAACTCTATACATGGTCGCTATAGGTCAGAACCCATTCGCCGGCACATACAACAACAACAAGGATTGTATTTACTCTTAAATTTTCTCTAATTGTTAAATCTACACTAGTTTTGTCACCAAATTTTATTGTCACCCCCCTGATATTATCTCTAAGCTTCTGTATTCTCAGTTTTCTGCGCATAGCTAAACACACAGTGTGCATACTTGTTGATTGTAATGCGTGTGTTTGCCTATGTGCACAGCAACTGGGTGGAAGACGAGGCGTGCGATGCTGTGCGCAGTCCCCTTCCTCCTCCTCTCCTCTTCTCTGTCAGCAGCTGCAGCCTGGATGCTTTTCTTGGAGACCCCGGACTGCTGACCCCTTAACAAGTTGTCCCTCGCTGAACAGGTGTCTCCCCCTGCCTCTCGCAGTAGAGGGATGGTTGGGCATTGAGTGACATCAGAGGTTGACCAATGAGAAGTCAGGTTTCGGCAGGTGCACCAATAGGCGGTCAGGGGCGGGCCCGTTTCCTGGGCGCCGGCGGGCCGGGCTGGTCCTTCGCAGCTCTTCTCCGAGTCAAGGAAGCTCTCGCAGCCGGCGGCGGCTCCCGTGGCTCCCGTAGCTCTGGTGGCTGCGCGCTCCCCGCTCCCCGCCCCCCGCCCGCACTCCCCCGCACGCAGACCCAGCGTCCCAGTCTCTGGTAGCTCTCAGAGCGCGACTCCCGCGGCGGCGCGTCTCATGCCCCCGGGCGCAGGGCGCGCAGGTGGGCCGGCGCCGCTGGGAGCTAGGCCCCCGGGGGCAGTGGCAGCAGGATCATGGCCGGGAGACCCGGCGCGACGGCCGCCTCCAGCGAAGAGTTCTCCTTCGTCAGCCCACTGGTGAAATACCTGCTCTTCTTCTTCAACATGCTCTTCTGGGTAAGTCCTGGGGGTCGGGGGCACCTGGGCGGCAGGGCACCCCCGAATCGGGCTGTCCACTGCAGGCCACGGAGGAGGCGTCCTCGGATGCCGGTTCTTATGAACGTTGGGAGCAGTGTTGCCTAGTTTCTGGTTTGACAACACTTTGGAATAATTTAGGGCTGGGGGTGGGGGAACACCACGATGTCTGGAAAGGGCGTTGGGGGTGGGGTGGGGATTTCAGTAAAGACTTACTGGGTATTCTTTGGCCGTGGGATGAAGGGCCAAGGTGGGTTTGTGAGGGGAGTTGGTCTTCCTCTTGGCCCAAGACACGTTCAAGATAGGGGGACTTTCAGGCCTGGAGCTGGGAGGCCCTGCTGGGAATCTAGGAAGGAAAAAGCCCCAATCCTCCACCTCATCTTTCCCGAAGAGACAATTGATTTAAGGCCTTCATCTCTTGCTTTTGCAGACCTCTGGTGCCGCTTGCTCCCCTGTTCCCTCCCCCCGCCCCCAAAAAAAGGCAGGAGAAATGGCCTTCAGCAACAAATAGCTCTCCCAGCACTGCCCCAAACTTTGCCCCACCTTACTCAAGACCAGACTTGTGTCCCTTGGAACCGGACAGTCTTCAGCTTCTTGAAATAGGACCCTGGGTTGGCCCTGGAAGGGGAGGGTTCTTTCTGAATCTTCTACTTGAGGGTGGGAAAATGGTCAGCATATTGGGTGAGGGCTGGGGGAACCTGTCATCTCAGCCCCAGTGTGCCATTAATTGTTGACTGACCTTAGCAAACCCGTTCATCTCTAGGCCTGTTTCCCCTCCATAAAATCAAGCGCAGTATGATCGGAATGGCACAACAACTCTGCCGGAGGTGAAAATTCCAAGGCCAAAGCAGACTATGAAAAGTTAGTTCATTCCTATTTGCCTTCTAGAGATTTCCTGGTCTCCTAGGATCGTGAGGGTTCCTCCCCTACCCCTTTTCTCTTCCATCTCTTACCACTGTCCCCTGAGCCTGTGGTCTTTGCCCACCTCTGCCTGAGACTTAAAGTTCAAGCCTGCAGGAGGGAGTGATTGTGGGTCTAAAATGTGTTTCCTAGGAGAGGGAGCAGAGCAGACATCTAAGCCAGTTGCTGGCAAGGTTTCACAAGGGCCTCGGTGTGAACTTCAGACACAAAGAACATAAGTGCTAGCCTGTTGGGACAAATGAGAGAAATCTCCGAGGGTGGCGATGACAGCTCACTCACAGCCTTCGAACTCAGGAAAAATGAGGTTTGCGCTCCTCAAATTCTCAGTTTTAAAACTGGAAAGAATTTTGTTGTTGTCGTTAGCTGCCATCGAATTGCCTCCCAACTCATAGCGATGCCACGCACAATGGAAGAAAACACTCCCAGGTCCTGCGAAAAACCCCCACAATCCTTAGGGTTTTCACTGATTGATTTTTTCAGAAGGAGATCACCAGGTCTTTCTTCAGAGTCCATCTTAGTCTGGATGGACTCCACTGAAATCTGTTCAGCATCATACAACACACATGCCTCTTCTAACAGGCAGATCAGCTGCTCAGGAAGTACACGGGCCCAGGCTCTAACCTGTACCACCGCATGTTCGATCTGAGAAAACTAAGGCCGAGATATCAATTACCGCTTTGTCCAAGGTCCAACAGCTGGCTAGCACCAGGCATGGCCTGGTGAGTTTTCTTCTGACCCACACAGTGTCTAGGGGGAAGTCCTGGGCTCCTGTGGCTGCTACTGTAGCTGGGATGTCAGCAGTCAGTCCAAGTCCCTTTGGCTTCATTTCTGCTTCAGCTGGAGGTCGGGGAAGAACAGAAAAAAAAATCCCTCTCCCACCCCCTTCCAGGGTGGGGGATGTTTGAAAGGGAACTCCCCACATAAAGGCAAAATACCAATAAACCCTCCTTTCAGCTCTCTGAGTGTGACATTCAATGGCACAGCAGCATGGAGGACTCAGCACTGGTACCCCGGGGACCTCGGGGGCTCAGTTAGACTTTCTCTATCAGCCAAGATGTGTCTTCTTTTTTGGGAACTTGTGGCACCTCCCCTTATCTGACAGTGACAACAGCTGGGTGCATCTGTTCCCCTTGTGCTCATGTCATCTTCGTGAACTTCCCCCACCCTCCCCTTTCCCAGACAAATGGCTTTGGGAGGTGGCAGCCAGGGAAAGAACTTGGCTCTGCTAGGCCGTTTACCTTGGCAAAAATGCTTCCTTGAAGGCCAGAGGCCCTGGCTAGCCAAGCTGGCATCACCCCAAATTACAGTAGAGCCCCTTCTTGAACTTCTTTAGACTCATATAAAAGAGGTTCTAGAAATAGCACATTGAAGGGCAAGAGACCCAGCTTCTTCCTGACATCACCTTCCTGTGTGACCCTAAGCCAGTGTGTCTGTCTCTCTGTCCATAATCTTATTACTCTAAAGGAGAACAATTGTCTGCATCTGAGAACTATTTGGAGGTAAAAGAATCCCTTTGGGGCTTGTTTCCTTCCTTCCGGAGCTTGGACTAAGGAAGTATCTCTCTGTGTCCTGGTGTTCTGAACATCGACCTTCCCAGGGGACAGTTCTCTGTGGGCACTGTTAAGTGTCACTTCTGCGCCAGGCCCAGGTCTGCAGCATGCATTACAATTCACACGTGTGTAGGTGGAGATGAAGGACTGAGTCCCCCATGTCATGAGTCCTCTCTCTGACCAACCTCCTGTCAGGGACTGGCTGCCACCATCCTAATGACAGTCCTCTGTTGTGTGCAGGAAGCACCTCGCATAGACTGTTGGCCACAAACTTTGCAACAGAGCGCATGTTCAGGCTAACCGCTGAGGAACCAAATATGTGTTGGGGGAAGGAGGAGACTGTGTCTATGCCTGGATCACATGAGTATTGTCTGGGCTTCCACTCAGGTGACAGTGACCACCTCCTGCTCCTTGGGGCATTTGGAATGTGACCCAAAGCTGCTGGTTCCTTGGGACCAGGACCTGTTCACCCTGTTCATATTTCAAATCTCACTTCCTCTTTTGCTAGGGAGTTCTGATTCTCTTCCCAGAATCATATTGCTGGGTTACTGGCCACTGGCTGGGAGCAGTTGCCCACAGATCCAAGAAGTGGTATTTCCGTCTTTCAGTTAAGAAGTAGCTGACTTGCTGTCAGCGCCCCTAATCAAATAGAAGACACTGCTGAGACAGACGCATGCTACCAGCCTCAGATATACATTGGCAGGAACATTATCAACGCCGTCACAGCTGCCTCCTCCCTCCTTGCTGGCCTTTTTTGCCACTTGGGGCAGCAGTTGGGGTGGTTTTGAGTCCAGCAGAGCCCAGTAGTAGCTCAGGCCCCCATCCCTGTGTCTCAGCCAAGGCTACTTTGATACTTTGTACATTGTCGCACCTCTTATCTTGACTGCAGTTATGTATTTATCTTTCCTTCTAGAGTTTGGGATTCAAAAGAGGGTAGGGACTGGTTTGTTAGCTTCTGGATTCTCAGCACCCAGCTGTGTAGCACTGAGTGCTTTGTTGGATGTTTATGAATGGTGGGTGAGAGAGCCCACCCTTGCTCCCTCCCTTCTTCTTGAATATTGGCCTCTCAAGTTGCAGCATCACTTCAAGTGTATCAGACTGTTATCTCCTCTGCAGTGAGTCTGTGACCTGGCACACCCCCATCCCCCCAGGCAGATCAGACAAAATAGCAGCTATCCCTCCAGCCTCTCAGCCCATCTAGATGTTTTCCCTGCCTCTGCAGCATAAGTGCCCAGTAGTTTGGGAAATTGGTACTCCACCATCCGACTCTTCCCTACACTGACCCAGGCCACTGGGGAGGCATCTTCTTGAGGAAGTCCACTCTCCCAGCCAGGACCACTGTATTGAAGTTGCCATGGCACTTGGAACTTCTCAACCCACCTGTGGCACCATCTCTTGTAACCTGACTCTGAAGCCACTAGGAAGTGGCGAGACATCCAGCCTGAGAAAAAAACCTTCCTGGTGGGAAGATTCTCCTACCTCCTACCACCTACCACCTGACACCCACCACCCACCATCTGAAGGGGCCCTTATTGTCATCTACCACCCACCGCATTCCCCAATACAACAGGAGACAGAGCCATCTTCTCCCCCTCCTCCTCTGTCTCCCCCATCAAACATCCAGCCTCTAATAATCGAAGCAGTCAGGTTCTTTTTATGAATTCAGCAACCAAAACTCCCAAAATGAAGATGCGAACCACGCTCTTCTACTGCCCAGACCATGTAACTGCCTTCTTTGACTTCCCCAGGAGCTTTGTTTGTCTTGTACCAAGTGAAACCCAAATACTTCAAGCAGTCTTACAGAAAAGACCAGACTGCTCTGAGTCATGAGCTGCCTGTGTCAGGCCAGAAACCACAGGACCATGAGTCTGAACATCTCCACTGCTGTGTGCTCTCCTGGATGCTCCATCCCTGCTTAAAACCTGAGGAAGAAGCTGAGGGGTGGGGGTGGGGTGGGGGTGGGGGTGGGCCCTCCCTCTCCCCCCACATCTCCTCAAGAGGAAATGAGCCCTGCGGACTGCCCATTCCAGCGGGGTAAACCATCCATTCCAGAGAGAAAGCTGAGAGCCCGCCTCACACAGATGAGGAACAACACAATGCCACACAAGGAGCAGTGCATAGAGTCTGAGGTTGGCGCGTGAGAGGAGGGCCTGCTTCTGGTCTAGCAGGCTGCATTTTTTTAAAAAAAACTTTATCTAAAAAGTTAGATGAAAGAAAGGAGTGAGACACTTGAGGTGGAGACCCTTCCCTCCCACCCAGCTTCTCTCTGAGTGGTGGGGGTGATGTGCTATCACATCAATTCCAACTCATAGTGATCCTGTAGAGGAGCAACTGGTGGGTTTGAACCGCCAACCTTGTGGTTATCAGTCCAGTGCTTATCCTATGGCACCACACCAGGACTCTCTGAGTAGGCACAGGAATTGCATTCTCACACAGGGAATGGCTCGACCCTCAGATTTTCCAACAACCACCACCCATAAAAGAGGAGGGATTAATTCCGAAAAAGAGGCA